CCGAGCCTCTATATTTTAATTTTGGACTTTGCTTTCTTTCACTCATAGATAAGAACATGTGCTTTATTAAAAAGTAGCAAATTTCTATTTGTGCTTTAATGAACAATTTGATTAAATAATTTTTCAATGTAAGATTTGTAAAAACCACACAATTTATAATAAAATATTTCCAAACATAATTTACGTGCATACTTCTTCAAATTCTTTTTGCAAATACCACTAATATTTTTTAAAATTGAAAATATAATTTTTCTGCAGAAAATTTAACAATTTAACTATATAACAAACACGTTGCTACTTTCTAATATACACAGCTCTTAGTTCGTCCTAATATTATTATATTTCTTAATAATCTTACCTAGAAGAACGTCTGTTTCACATTTAATTATTTAATACAATAATCATAAAGTATATATAAGTAAAACTCTTAAACCCGAGGCGATAGTTCTATACATATACACTGATCTTTTTTTAGTAGGTTGAAATACCTAAACAACAGTTTTACTTTAACAGACACACAGTCACACTTAGTGTCATTGAGCTGATCTTATTACATCTAATTGGTTTTCAATCTATTTCATTACAATTATAACATTAACAGAATATTTGTGTGAAAAGTGATTTTACTATGATATGGGCCACCTATATAAACACAGGCAGCTGTTAAAAAATTCTGTGAACGTGCTGAAAATATTGCTCGTACATATCGCATAAGTGACATAAAAGGAGAAACGTGTATCCATGTACAAAAAAACTTACCATTTACATGCTAAATGCCATCATTTGAGCTATTACTGGGATTGAATACAGGTATTGATATTCTTAAATTTACAGGATATCGAAGAAAAATTTTCGACCTTTTAGGAAAGAGTTTCTGATTGCGATAAGTGATATCGGTAAATTTGACAATTTCCGGAACACTCTTTTTGGCAGTATAACATATATGTATGGCAGTATCTGTATGACGCATATAATAACGATATTATAAACAAACTTGACAATTTCCGGAACACTATTTTTAGCCATGTAAAATATTGTATGACGCATATATTAACGGTATTATAAATAATTTAACAAAGTTGCAAAGGATCGCGAGAAGTTTTTAAGAATTTAACATTGTTACTAATGACTTGTAAAATTATCCCTATGATATATTTTGAATATTTAAGTGTTGTATATACATGTGATTCTTATAATGCAACAATATCTAACTGAAAGTTATACTCGAAAAAATATATCCTTAAAGAATAAATAGTGAAACAATAACAAGTTAAAGATCTTACATGTAGATAAAAATATTCTCTCTATATATATATTTATATAAATTTAAACATAGTTGCATCGTGACCTCACATAGAATGACAAATAGCACTATGTTACATGTTACGCATGTAAATAAAAGAGAAAACATTATAAAATAGGATTTTATTGTATCTTATCGAACTATTCGAAAACTGACGCTTAAACGCTTATTTGGCAACAATTATAGTTTACCTAAATATTTCTCCCTTTATGCCTCGGAGCAAATCTAAATGTTGCGCATATGTATGTGTAATAGTAGTTGAATGACAAGATGCATAAATTTGTAAACAAATAGACACAGTACAAAAAAATAAACATAATCACAGCTGAGTTGGCAGGCAGGCGGGCAAACGCAGGCGTATTATTGGACAGGCTTGCTCGACGTATATGCGCTTCATCGCTTTTTTATACATGGTTTTGTTACTTGGTCGACATTATATTTCAATAGCCTGCTAAGCCCGTTTCATTGACAGATTCATTCTTAAACGTAATCATTAGTTCCAGGACTCGTTAAAGGTTCCTGAGCCTATTAAAATTTAAAAAAAAATTACCCAAAATATACATTGATGTTCGATAAAATAATAAATAAAATTATATAAATAACATGTACAAATCTAACTAAATGATACATCACACACAGTAATTACCTCTTCTCCAACTGTGGCAGTGGGGAGTGGAAACCTATTCTTTTCAAGACTAAATTGATCTTCTGTGGTTTTCCTATACACAGGATTATCAAAGTTCATACTTGTAACATTACGATGAAGGTAATGCCTATAGCACAATACTGCTACTAATGCGAGGAGTAACAGCCCTAAGGACGCCACGCCTATCACTATACCGGCGACTAAACCAGGGTCTGTGGATTCTGATGACGCACTATCTTTTCCTTCTCCGTCTGTTGAATGTGCCGGATCTAAAATATATTATTTGATTAGTCAATAGTAGTAAAGATTTATCAGCAGTGTGAGTAATTAAAAAGCTGCAATTATAAAAAGCTTTTTATTTATTCATTGCGGGAAGTGTCGGGAAAGGTATGTTACGTCTGATGATATAATACCACTTTTAATTACTTATAAAATTCGCGTACGTTTCGGATAACAGTTCCCATTGTTAACATAAGATTGTATGCAAAAAATATAAGCCAAAGCTAAACACTTTTATTCGATTGATTATGAAAGCACAACTAAATAAAATAAAATTCATGCAACTATACTTACGAATAGTCGTAGTGGTAACGTTGAGAGGTTCAAGTTTCTTGAATGGTTTACTAATTTCTTGCGTTGTAGGTGCTACAGTTGTACTTACTGGGTATCCCATATTCATGCAACACCGATGCAAAATAATTATAATAAGTAATGAAATAATAAATGTAGGACGATACAGACGCGGTAATTGTATGATAAAAGAAAATTTAAAAAAAAAAACGCTTAACGTAACTTGACAATGAAACAGCAATGTATATATAAAATTAAAAAATTTAAACATGCCTCATGTTTTTTTTTTAATTTTTTCTATGTTTAAACCGTAAGCATTAATTTCTTTTAATAGCATGCAGTACCTTTGGTTTGACTTCATTCTTTCGATTTCAATCAATACGTGCATATGTAACCGATGCATGTGATTTATTAAGAAACGACCAGTTTCATCAACGTAGCTCACCTTTCTCCACACACATTAAACCGTCAGGTAATAATCTTAGGCCGTCTGGGCAAGCGCAACTAAGAAGAGGCGATTTGGAATTAATTCTTGGTGCCGGTAAACACAAATGACTGCAATGACCATTCACAGCCTGACACTGATTCATTCCATCTGGCTGTCTATATGGATGATACACATGAACGACCATTGGATATTTCAGAGTTCGAAGCGACGTTACAGCTTTGACCGATTGACCAGTAAATTTATTCGCTTTAAATATCGCCTCCTTATCCCAATCGGTCCAATAAACGTAATCCTCGAACGTTGTAATACTGAAAGGATGCCTCAATACTTCCGGTGAATACAGAACTGTTCGTACACCTGAACCATCGTAGTTACACGATCCAATTATATTTAACTTCCCGTCTACCCAGTATATCTTCTTGCCTATTAAGTCCAGAGTTAATCCATTCGGCCATTGTATATCATTATCGACTATTACCTGCAAACAATAAATCCCATTTTTCAGAAGCTTTGTTCTCCTTATTATTATTAGCAATCGCTTTAAAAGTATTTAAATAGCTCTATAATTACTTCTATACGACAATTGGAGAAATAATGGACTTGGTAAATGGACGGCAATTTTACCAACGAGAAATCTTACTTTAACCACTACTACTCTTACCATCCTGAAAACCCTAGAGATAAAATATCCTAAAGATAAAATTGGAAGATTGTCCAAGTTCACTTTTTCTCCAATCTCATTATAGATCTACCGTTCGATGAGATCCATCCATGCCCGCTTTCTCGATACGAGCTTCATCACTCCAGTCAGTCCAAAACATCCAACCCTCCAACGGATTCAAAGCTATCGCTCTGGGTTCCTGTACGCGATCTCGAATCAGGGTCTTCCTCATGTTGCCCTCGAAATTCGCCAATTCTATAGTGTTCTTTTTAGAATCGGTCCAGTAAATGTGACTGTAAATCCAGTCAACGGCAAGTCCATCAGACATTGTTAAACCATCGTCTATCACAACTGTACGCTCGTTTCCTTCGTCTATCGGAGCTCTAAGCGAGAAGAAAGAGCAAATGAATAAATGAGAAAAACAATCGAGATGAATCTAATTCAGGATGAAATTTATGTGTCGTTTACTTGTAGATCTTCTTTTCGCTACTATCGCTCCAGAAGATCATACCAGTGCGAAAAACGAAGTCCAATGCCGTTGCCATTTTCGTGTCCTTCACGATACTTGTCATCTCCAAACGGTCTAAAGCTACCTTTCTTATATCGTGCCTCCTGGTAATCAGCAGACTCGCATGACCCTCTGCAGCTTTGCAATGAGTATGATTCCTGGGATCTTTCAGGTAACCCGCGGCACAGCTACACTTGAAGCTACCCTTCTCGTTCAGGCAAAACTGGGAACAACTACCCGGTTCTAAGCATTCGTCTATGTCTGAAATGAAAAATACAGCTGTTAATATTTCTCTCTTCTTTTTATTTTTCTTCTTTTCTTTGCAGAAAATCTTTTTTTTTCAATTGATCACTGCTAATAAAGAACCTACCGTCACAAGTTCTATTATCTATCAACCGGTATCCTGCGTTGCAATCGCACCGAAAACCGATCGGCAAATCGATGCAAATCTGCGAGCAACCACCGTTGTTCTTCAAGCACTCATTCACGTTACAAAGCTCCGCGTTCTCGTCCTCCCAGCCGATGCAGTCCGGATTCTTGTTGCATACGTTGTTGAGAGGAATACACGAACCTTCACTGCATTCGAACTGAGTCAAGGGGTCGCAAGCTACGGTTTTGCTCGTGCAATTTCTCTCGTCGCTGCGGTCCGCGCATTCCGCTTTGCCGTTGCAATACAGGTGACCTGAAATGTTTCATACAGTTACGTTTTCGTGCGTTTTGATAGGTTTCGCGCGTACGTTCTTTGTGTATCAGAAATATCTTTTCGAGAAAAAAAAAATTGTATCTTTTGTGTCGATCATAGAGCGTCGAACGGTTGAAATGAAAATGTAACACAAAGATAGATGTTCGTGTACGTTCTTTTCTTTTTTTTAAAGCTCTTTCTAAAAGTAAACGGAGAAACGGAAAAGATTCTTTTGTAACGAGAATACATACGATAAAGGATATTTCTGTTTTCTCTCCAGTGACACAGATCTAATATTGCATTTTTCAAAATTAAGCGAAATCGTGGCGATATTTGCGCGGTGAAAAGTTTAATATCGCCTCGATGTCAGGCTCGTATCGACATAACCGAGTGAAAATAACCAGAGCGCTTTTCACCCGGTTGCGTATTTTTATTGTATCTTTTTAATCAAATATTCGTGACCCTACGATTCTACAACGCTTTTATTTTATTTTCAGCCGTAAAATTAATATAGACACAAGACGTACCCTGTACGCGATTAATCGATTAATATTAATAATACCTCATATACAGGATGTCCGGTGAATCGTTGTATGTACAGTATGTTTAGGTATTATGTTGATTTTTAGAAAATTGTATATTATTTATTACTGAAAGTAAATGCTTCGTACTATATTATACGATAAACGATCGAGAGATTACCAGTTGAACATTGCATTGAATGAGTTCAAGGATACCACAAGAAATTTCGCAACAACTCCTCTATTTTGTAATATTTTTAATTTTCAAAAAATTGAAGCTTTTCATTTAGTAATTACCCATGAAAAATCTGAACTTAACTGCCTGTGTCATTATAATTTCACGCTCGAAATTATTCTTTTCGACAATTAGACAAACAATCGAAATATTTTATTCCTAATTGTTTATTTATTTTTTTCACAAAGAATCATCCTCTTTCTCCGTTGTACACTACGATTTACCAGACACCTTGTATATTCAGCTGTGCACAAGGAATCTGATTGCGTACAGTAGATGAAACTTATCCGATTAAGTTACCTGATATGCAATTATGATGATCCTCGCATTGGAATTGATCAGGTCGGCACGTAACGTTATGACACCGTTGAGGCGATTCATCCGCACCGTTAGGGCAATCCTTCTCGCCGTCGCACACCCAATTTTTGTGTATGCATGTCAAATCATCGTCGCAGTAGAAGTCTTCCTTGTCACAAGGGCTCGGCCGTTTGCCGTCTTTGTACTTGAACATTTCAAAAATTACATTTTCCAAATACCCCCGATTTTACGTCCTTTCTCGACGATACAAAAATAATTAGACTGGATAAATTGATCGGAATATCTACGGGAACGACGATAATTTCGAAGCTTGTGAAAATTTTCAAATGTGTAATCATCGATGAATGTTTAAATACAGAATGGCTCAAAATTAGGAAATGTTTCTTCTCAAAAACAAATTTCCCCATTTTTCCACAAAATATAATCGCCTGAATCGATTGTAACAAATGAAAGATTAACGGTAAACTACTCAAGATTGAAGAAGTTTATGTTTCCATTTTCGCATCTCGAAAGGAACATCGATCTTTAAATCTCTCTCCTCGATTTAGAATTCATCTATTCTGAGAAAAAAGGTCAAAGGTTCAAATCGCCCGCATCAAATTGTTCCGAGGGTATCTAATTTTCCAGTTTGAAAAGCACAATTTGCACGTCGATCAAATTGAAAATTCATCAAGAAATTTTACTCCCTTCGTTTTCCTCTTATTGTTTCGAGCCCCTCTGGTGAAAAGCTCGCGCGTCGAAGTGAAAATAGAGGAGAGGGAAAAAAACGTGTTTCTGAATGAAACGCTTCCATTACCTCGCATCCTTTTTCGTCCGATCTATCAGGACAATCGAATTCACCGTCGCACCGCCAACGAGACGTTATGCAATAATGTTTCGAACAGGCGAACTGCGTCGGGTCGCAGGTGAACGACTTGCAATCCTCGTCGCTGCCATCCCCGCAATCGTCGTCGTCGTCGCAAACCCAGAATTGCTGGATACAGCGCTTGTTCGCGCACGTAAACTCATCGGATCGACAGGTGTTGTCTAAAGAAGACGTATCTTGTAAGAACGCGGAATAGAGGGATGCGTTATAAATAAGATCTACATACACAATAACGAGCACTTACTTCGTCTACTGATAATAGTTTTTAACATACAAGAAATATCACAGTGCTCCATAGTATGTACTCTGTCGCAGTGAAATTTCAGCACTTTTCTTCGAACTTTCCAGGAAACTGTTTTAGACAAATGTTGAATTAAGTTTGTGTCACTTTTGTCAACCCGAGTTTCTTTATCTATCACATTTTTCTTTGGACATATTATGTTTCGTTTTTTAAACGAAACTGTAGCAGTTTTTAAATACAAATCTAACTGATCAAGGAAAGAGTTTTAAATCATTGAAATCCTCATAGCTCGTACCGATTTATCCAATTTCGAATAATCATTTGACAGACATATTTACCAGGTTATAAGGAGTGCACAAATTAAAAGAAAAAACCATATCAATTTTTTTAACTCCGAAAACCAGAGTGCCCCTTTAAATATGGCTAAATTTTTTGTCTGAAACAATTTTTTGCAGATGTCAAGAAAAGTTCTGAAATTTTGTGGCAACACATACATACGTGGTACACCCTTTATACAACAGTCGAAAGAAGCACGTCACTACTTACGCAGTCATGTGATATTCATAAATGAGTGTTTAAAATTTAATGGAATTCTGGTAAAAGTTCTATGAGCCACAGGAGCATTTGAATTCGTTTCAGAAACTACGCAATTCAATGGAGAAATTTCGTATTCCTTGTGTTAAGTATTCAAAAGAACAATTTCAGTTCCGCGAAAGAACATAATCGGTCGCATTTCGCTTAAACCAAGGAAGAATAATTGTGCTCTCTTTCGTCTCGTGTAAATCACACATCCATCGATACTCGTTAGACATAAAGAGGACAATTGTTCAACGTTTAAAAGACATTGCATTACACTTAGCAAACGATAAAAGACAAAAAAAGAAAAAGAAGAAAAACGAAATTATGTCTATTCGAATATCGACGATAGAAATGTTCGAAGCAATGACTAACCAGATACGCTAAGACATCGATTTTTCGTTCGTGTGCAATAAAAAAAGAAAAAGAAAAGAAAGTGTGTGTGAATCGTGGAGTGAAATGAAATTAATTGGTTAAACGGTGAATCTGTACCATAGAAGTTCTAACCCATCGTGAAGCTACTAGCAACGTTTAAATTATACTGCGAACTATTTGCACTTTCGAGAGGATGTAGCGGAAGAAATAAGTTTCTTAGCATAGCCGCGTAATTAAACGGTGTAATTAACCGGTCGTTGATCAACGACAAGCGTGTACCATCTACGAACACGCGGCTCAACATTAAGTGTACAGCATAACAGCAAAAAGCTACTAGCTTACAAACCAAAGATCTGAAACGCAGTTTCGTTGCCTCGACTTTGGCGTGAAAAGTTTGATCAGTATGATGGACCGCGACGAACGAAAAATCGATCCTTCTAGCGCGACGTATATACTCACGTAACACCGATCATTCTCGCTGAAATCAAAAGTAAACATGTCTAAAATCATACATGTGGACGTGATCACGTTTAAATTAAAATTCGTTATTTTCAACCCTTTGCTGATTTTCCGTGTATAATTTCTTGGCTCTTCGTTAACCTCGTTCCTATGTTACGCGAAACATACGAAACGAGGATTTCGTGCAAAATTTCGAATTCGAGGTTAAAAGAAAGTTATACACACTGAAAACATTCTGCTTTTACACACGTGTAGCGTAATTCTATTAGACACTCTAGATAACAGTATATCAAAGGATACCTTGGGTTCGCTTAATTTAGTTTTATTTCCGGTAATCGTCGTAGGTTATCGGTGTCCCACATGCCGCGAAACCTGTTCAATTCAGCAAACGATCTTTCATACGGTAATACTATCCACGCATATACACTTCCAATTTATAAACCACTGAACATTCACATCTTGTGAAACGTTCATTCAGTCGAAAATTTCATTTGCTTCGAAATTGTGAATTATTGTAACCGAAATTTATCTTCGCTTCAAATGTATTCACTGTCTAATGTCTTATAAACGGGAGTGTAGAATTTATCAAACCATTTATAGCAGCACAATTACGCTATTTTCTCTCTTGTATGTATCACGTCAACGTTAAGTAGAAGAACACAAGGTATCTGCCTCGTTAACAGAGGCGAGTGTGTTAATTAGTTAAACAGCAAAGGGTTGATAAGAATGCAACAGGCCGGCGAAGAAGTGAAGGGGGAAGAAACAACAGAGAAATACTACGGAAACAACACCATCGGCGTGACAACGAGACATAAATCCTCGGTGGCGAACAAAATCCTCGGTGGTGAACAAAATCGTGAAACATGTATCGTATCGTACGGGGATCGTAGTTTGTGCAACCTGTTCTTGAAGAGTTCCGGTTGTCTAACCTCTCCCAGGAAAACCGAGGGTTCTTGGGAAAAGGAGAAAAGTGGAGAAAAGTTACATATTTGCATAGGAGACCACGGTTCCGTGATCCTATTTACCAAAAGTTACTCTTCTCAAACCGGACAAATCTGTCCCGTACAAGATTTCTCGAATGAAAAACAAAGAAAAGAAAAAAAGAGAAGAAAAGAAAAGAATGGGAGAAACATTTGAAAAAAAAGTGATGTACATGTGAGTATACGAGAAGAAATAGTGTTCGAAGAACGGTGGAAATTGAAAAGGAGAAAGTGTTACTTATTACAAGGGGAATCGTGCGGTTACATAAGGGAGGACTAATTAGGAGAGAATGAAAACGATCCTCGTAATGGTAACAATTACATTTCACAGACTAATGAAAAAAAAAAAGAAAGAAGAGACGACAAGGGTGCGCCAATAGCCGGCGACGATACGGCGGAATTTGCGTGCGTGGAACAATTATTAATTAGAAGGTAGCATGCAGCATGCAGCGATTACAGAGGGGCCACACGGTGTTCTGTATTAATCCTTAAAATACAGAAGCTAGCCAACTCAGCCAGCGAACACCAGCCAGTTTCCGGTTATTCCCCTCGTGTTTTACGACAGCTCGGTTCGCGACGCTTACTTTTAATATCTACCCTAATAAGCGCGCCACGTGAGCACCACCGCCTAGCACAATATTAACAGTCCATCACGGTCTCGTTGCTCGATAATTTCGCGCCGCACGTTCGTAATTTAAGAGAGAAGAAGAAAAAAAGAAAGGAAAAAATGGAAGGAGCGAAAGAAAACCGACATGAACATTTTTGTACGAGGCAAGATGTTTTTCTAATACGTAGGTAGGTACATATGTTGCAAGTGACAGAATATCGTAACAGAGTCACGCCGCTCGTACGAAAAAAGGATCTCCGAAATTTTTCAAGATTCTACGTAATACACGACGAGGAAACCCGAGAGCTGTTGCGAAATAAAATATGATTGTTATTCAAATTCATCGTGTCGTTAAATATTCATTACAGCTTCGTTTTTTTTTTCTTCTTCTTCTTCTTTTTGCCTCGTTCGTTAAACGGAGTCTACGAAAAAACAAAAAAAGTCATCTCGTAACCATCGACGGTGTACTACTGGCTCAATGAAACGCCACAAAAGTGAAACTAACGACTCGACTCCCGTTCTTTCACACAATACGACTATATTTTTCTCTCTTCTATTTTTGTTCAGCCCGCGAACATTCTGCACGATGCATTTGCTACCACAGATATTAACATTCGTTAACATGAATTTGAAGCGACAATGAGGCTATAGAAACATGCTCTCGAAAGATCCTAATAACATTCCTTCATACCTCAAATATACATATATACATGTAGAAAAATATATATTGTATATATAAATAAATAAATGAAAAATATTGAAAGAAAGGACAAAAAAATGCAAAAGAGGGGTTTCTAATGTCCCAGTCATGTCACATAGAATGAGAACAGGGGAGGCATGCTTATCGCGAATCCTTTCGGATCGAAACCCTTGACCAACGGAGTGAAGTAAACGTATTGCATAATCGTCGCAACGAAATCAATTTGACCTCGATTAAACAAGTTGCGGAATTACGCGTTTAAACTGGAATATGTAATTGTGCTTATGTTAATGTAATCACGTTCAACTTGTCGCGGGACTTCAATTCGCAATAAACGGTTAATTGAACTATTTCTCATAGTTCGTACCGGGCAACGGATGAAAGAGCGAACGGTGCTTTTCAGTTTTGGTGTCACGTCAAAATCAATATGGGGTTGTTTTAACTCCACCCTATCGGTCGAAGGGTTAAAAGCTTAACACGTTGATCGCCGTTATCCTGTTTAATTTACGATTATCCAGCGCGTATCGTAAATAATACACTATAGAAACCGTGTTTCTCTTGATCGCGTATGCGTCATTTGCAAGCCTAGAGCTTACGGCAGAGTGTCCTGTGGTTTTCGTTGATTGCGTGATCCACTGCGTGAGATTATTCGGCATAATTCGTACTATGATAGAGAGAGAATAGTGTATGATTCTTTACCGAAGAAAGAAGGTGGAAAATGTTCAATCGAAATGTTTCATCAAATTGTAATTTAATTTTTGTTACACAGATACACCCTCTCTTGAATGCAGTTGGAAAAATACGATCAGTATTTGATTATCTTGCGGAAAAAATAAAAGTTATTTCTAGTATGCGTTTCGAAAGGAAAAGTCAGTTGTTTATCGATAAACTGATAAATTCGTCTACTACTGATTTATGCAGAACTGACCCCGCTCGAACTCGGATTCGTTCGAAATACATTCAATAATTCATTGTTTAGCGAGGCAAATACAGCATTAGCGCATTGAAAATGTATGAACTTAGGAGTTGTATATAGGATTGCAGTGTAAATTGGAACACGACTGCAGCCTGGTATATGAAACCGCTGGCGGATTTTCGTTGAATGCTAATCTAACATTCAAATACATCTCTGAGATAGAATAATCTTTGGTGTTATTCAATAGAAAGGGGGAATAGTGGTTCCATTAATTTTTTACGAATTATGCCGCATTGATAATAGAGTGAAACGTATTCTAGGTGGAAGAAATATTGTGAAAACCGAAATAAAATGTACAATACGGCCTTTGTATATTCGAACAATTTATATATTTTCAGAACTATGCGGTCGACTTTTCATTTCTATACACATGTATATATATCCGGTTTATAAATGTTACGAATTTCGTTTTAAAACTGTTTCAATTGATCTCCATTCCAAATTGCAAACCTGTTTAAATTCAATTATTTTTGCAATCTGCAAACAACTATTGCCCGAAACATGTTTTTTTTTTATATATTTTTAAAAATAATATTCCGAATTTCACGTTGGAAAATTGTTTCTATCGCGAGAAAACATTTCGAAGACCATCATCAGCGACACATGCCTCGCTTACTCGTCGCCTTCGTGTCATCTTTCGTAGTTGCTTGTCCAAACATTACTCTTTCTTTCGAATATCCCGTAAAAAGAGTCAAGTGGCGAAAGATCGCGGAGAACCGAGATGGCCATTGAATAGATCCTCCTCGACCTATCCATCGTGTCACAATGAATCGTATCATTCGGTGGCCATCTTGGTCACCCGATCTTACTCCATTTTACTTCGAGCTTCAAACGCTCGTAACTTTGAAAGGAGCGGTTTAAGAAAAGATGTTCCAAATCAGAAAGTTGCTTGTTTTCCAACGTACACTACCGTCCATCGCTATTAGAACACCCGCTCTGTTCGTACAAAAGGTTATATCTGACCCAGATTATATAGTTCTTGCCATTTTTATCACCTCATGTCAACCAAAGTATGCGAGACTTCAAACTATAGATAGGAACTTTTCTTTTTTCACAACCCGATAATTCCATAGTGATTTTTCAGGTTTACTCGGTAAGTGTATTAATAGTAAACGGACAAGAGTATTGATTATGAAAATGATTGATTTTACATAAGTTGCCACTTGAAATGTTAAAGTTAACCAATATCTGATCCTCTTAGAGGGATGAATGGTGATCAATCTTAACGTGCATTTAAGATATTTGAAATACTTTCCGATTTGTTGAAATTTATTTGATTTACTTGAAATACTTAGAGTTTCAGATAGACGTAACGTTACCAACGCGAAAGTGTCCAGTAATATTTTGCTTTTTGATGAAAAATACGATTTCATCGAAGTTTCATTTTATTATTCATTATCTCTGTCAATGTTAAAATGAAAAATTAATAATGTAACAGATAAACGATTAATTTTCACGAACCACATTTTCCGAGACAGCCTTCATATTCGGTTACACCCTACTAACTTCCACCACGAGTACGCAAACTCGAGTTCGAGATACCGTGTGGTCGACGATCAACGTGTCAAAGAAACATAAAAAGCGAGTTTTTCACCTGTTAACCGGGGTAAAAGTATTAACTCGTCGCTGAAATAATCTGAACGATTCCTCATTTTTAATTGAACGTCAGAAATCCAGTTCCAGTTATGCAAATGAAAAGTGTAAAATATCGATAAGGATTATTTCGAAAGCGACCAAACGGTTATTACTGAATAAGTAATTTCAATTTTAATTTCTCTTGGAAGTTTTTAAACAGAGTGTAAGAGCCGAGGAAAAATTTGAAGGACAAAACGAGAATCGAACTCTACACCCGTAACCAAGAAGCCCGTCCTCTCTTTCCTCGCTCTTATTGCTCCTTTTTGATCGGTACAGAGGACCTCGATCCCGCAAGAGTAATACACCAAACAAATTTACTTTCTCTCTAAGACCTGGACCCCGGTTAACAGATCTGAAGAAACGAAAGAAAGAAAAAAAATAAAAAGGAACATAAACGTAAAGGAGCCCCCGTGCAGTAGCTTACTGCACTCAGCCTCGTCTGAACCGTCCGAACAGTCTTGGTTGCCATCGCACATCCAAGCGAGCTCCACGCACTCGCCAACCCCCGTGTGACACGTGAACTGTTCCGACGTGCAATTCTTCATCCCTACAAGATGACAATCGATTGGAGCGCGGATTTTTTTTTATTCGTGACGAGATGCCAGCTACATCACGGCCAGAGGCCTCATTTTCTGACACACAATGCCGACGACACACGCGTAGCCGTTGTCGTCGACACGCTCTATTTTCGTCGAGAAAAAGAGAGAGAGAGAGAGAGAGTGAAAAGCCGTCTCGAGGTACGCGAGAATTGCATCCCCAGGGTCAATTACATTCGAAGAAATTTATGCCCGATTCCTTGGCGTTGATTTACGGCTTGCTCTCTTCTGTTCCGCGGAAAAGTTACCGTTCGGTGGAAATTAAACGTATTTAAAAGCTTTGGATCTCACTGTTGGCTGTTGTTGGTCCGATGTTTTTCTCTGATCTATTTTAACGCTGAGGTCATTTTATTTCGATAGCGACGGAATCAAGAGTGAGAAATTAGCGAAATAAAAGAAATTATTGGAAAAATGCTGCGAACGTGATCAGATTGCAATTTACGATTTATCTGCGAATGATACCATTTTTCCACAGAAAGTGGTATTAATACGTGTATACCAGGTGTACCAATTATTCGTCCGTCAGTTTTTTAATAAGTTAGAAATGTGGGTTAAATTTTAACGGTGACCTGTAACTTCATTCGGAATATAAGCTGATCTATCTACAACCTCAGGAATTGATCGATATTGTAGTAACGGAAAATGATAATCGATAAAGCATATATAAATCACATTCTACTATGTGAATATCAAACAAGGAAAAACTGCTGCGAAAGTATGGAAGTCAATATGTTTTTTCCTTGGTAAAACATCCTGTCATACGATATACAGTTGCGGTCATTAATTTCCGACCACAATTAGAACAGTATAACTAATTTTAAATTGGACCAAACGATTTGAGTTTTTCTGAGGAGTTAGAAGGATTAGTTTATTAAACGTGTACAAAAAATGTTGAAAAAATTGCAATTTGTGGGAATCGCGAAGAAAATTGTAAAGGTCGCTGTTTACAACTTTTTCACCTGAGCTTGTTGCGAAAATTTAAAACATACGTTTTGTAGATCTATGTCAATTGTATACATGCTGAAAATTTCATCGAAATCCGGTTAACGTAAATGCTGAATTTGATTTTGGTACACTTGGTATATGTTTTTTACCCAGCGTTCATTTTCTGAATTCACGTTTCTATTATACAACTCACTTGCGAACGTGGTAGCATTAAATTATCGTTGAAAGATACGCGTAGCTAATACGTAGTGCAGTGAAGTTTATTAGTGGATGATCTAGGACGCGGATCTGAGGCAGATAGCAACGAAAACCAGCCAACTTATTTTAACAAGTTTAGCTCAGTCAGTAGTCTGGCGGTAGTTTTGTGTTTGCTTAGTATTAGCAAAATGAATGCTTAATGCTTCCACGTGAGGCATTAATAATATAACACTTGCGAAGTTAAATAAACGAACAAAACTATACTGTCAAAAATATTCGACAACTATTGTGACAAATTTGAAAATATACAATATTCGTTAAGTAAACAATTTTCAAAATATAAAGATCGAAAAACCGTTCGATTTAACGTTTCGATTATTTACTTTAACGCATAGGATACAAGAGTTGAAACAATTCCTTAATTTTTCTAATGGGAACAATTAAAATGAACATTTGAACTATATAAAAAAATAACATTTAACATTTTGTATTGAATTTCAGGCTAATTAATTAATTTTCTCAGGCTTCGAAAAAGGGTTGGATAGCCTCGTTCCAGGTAACGTGAAACTTTCGAAAACCCTCAAAAGAATAACGAAATCGAAACGCGGAATATTTTCTTAAACAGAATCTACATGGAAAATTTCTACTTCGTTACCTTCGCCATTTCTGAACACTCTCTGCGCCAACATCAATCACAATATTAAAAAATTCACCACTCCCGTAGATTTCCTTGCTCGGTGGTACCAGGGAGGAATTAAAAAACAGTCTCGATCCAAAGCAGCATCGGAAATTGTACACTGTATCGTGTCCTATATCGTATCCGGTAATTCTGCGAACGCACAGCACTCGATTAAAAAAAGGAAAAAAGAAGAAGAAGAAAAAAGAAAAAGAAGAAAAAAAAAAAGTTCGCGAAACTCTCCACGAGACACTCTCGCAGAATTCGAAAGCCGATATTTACTTTCCCCGGTAATTTATTTCCTTCCGGTGGTCGAATCACGATTTTGCTTTGACGGTGAACGAGTTCAACAATTGAGGGATGCAATTTGCAATTTCAAGACTAAGCCTCCCTTTTCTCCCTCTCTCACTCCCTCTCTTTCTTCCTCGTGGATAATCTCCACGATCCGCCGCCTGTGTGTTCCGTAGTTTTTTCTTCCAACCTGCTTCTCTCGTTTCCCCCTTGGCTCCTTCTCGGCTCGTTCCAACGATCAACCTACGACTTATCGATAACTTACTGGGGCAATTTTTCTCGTCCAACTCATCCGTGCAGTCGACCTGATGATCGCATAGCCAGCCCTTCGGTATGCACTTCCCCGGGCTGCACTCGTACTCCGTTTCGCTGCACGGTTTCGACCCTTTTGATCGGCAATTGTTTTATCATTTTTCATCAAGGATGATGATTCGCGGCGAGCGGAAGCGCGCAAAGCGATTTATTAGGCGGCGTGCAATCTATTTGAGCCGGACGCGATAATAAAAACCGGCACAGGCTATGGCAACCGTGTTTTGTCTTAGTGTTACAAGTTTTTTTTTTCGCAGGCAGGAGGTGGAATGGGAAAATTGATCTTTTATGACACTTTTTTTTTTTTAATTTTTCACTTCGATTTTTGCCCGTGGCTTTTTTTTTCCTTTTCTCTTTCAGTTTTGGTATTATTCGTGACGGTGATCGTAAAGTAGCACTTCGAGGTACGCGAAATGTGATTTTTTTTCGCTCGATGTTACTACAATGATCAATGGCGCGCTGACATTTTTCTGGCTATTTTATGAAATATTCTACGAAATATTTTACGGGTAGACTTTTATTCCTAAAATTGCACACAGCCGTGAAAGAGAAAGAGCTCCGTTCTCCGTACCAGCAATTTTTATATTTTTCACTGTATTGATATTTTCGCAGATATTTCAAGTGTTTACAGTTTTTTTGTTCCGAACTTCAAATTACCATGTTCAGGATAGTTTTTTCAATACGCGCCTCACAGCTACGAGCGTTGACGTACTGACGATATTTCACGAATTACAAACTGCTGTAATATTCGAAGTAACGAGAAAGTCGTACTAGACGGGAGGAGTCGTTGCGCTGATATTAATATATCAGCTAAAAAAGTTAAGCAACTTATAATACACCTTCTCGCGTTTACTGGAATTTAATCAGTTTCCCAGCGTCCAGTTAACCGGGGCTGATTTTCTTTTATGCAACCTTCTTCTATTCATTTTAAAGCGTACTGAATCATTAAACTTCCCTTTTCTCACCCCGCTCTCGTTCCGTAGCCGGTTTTACGTTGCGAAGAAACGGTCTATAAAGGCATGTAAGGTAAAAGAAAACGCCGTATATCTCCCTCTCGCCGATAGCAGAAAGTTTAGACGAGATTTTCTTCTTTTCTCTCTCTCTCTCCATCGTTTCTACGTGTATTTACACACATACCACGTGTACATTATCTGAAAATTTTTCAACGAACCGCCGCGCCCGTACACCGGCACACACGATAAAAACGTAATTGCCATTTACCGTTTTCATTGTGGCTGACAATTCCCCCTTTAAAAATTACCCGCGCCACATAACGAGCGTCGGTTACACGCCACTTTATTATCGTCGCTGAAAGTTATACCCGCGATGGAACACAGTTTTTCACCCTAGCGAGTTATCACCGTATCTGTGTTTCTCCCTCTCCCATCCCCTCTCCCCTTTCTCCCTTTCTCGCCGTTTCAAAATCGATACCATTTCGCGTGCAATTTCAAAAGGAGAACGAACGCGACGTCGTTAGCAGATTACAAGCGATTTCGATTCGCCGCCCCACCAGCTACATAGGAATGTTTGCTCGTTCGATGCCAGATGAAATGTCGGTTCATCCGAATGTTCGTTAGCCTTCGACATGCCACCCGTTATCAATGCCTCATTGTTCGCGATTTTAGACACTAACTGCATAACGGAATTGCTAATAAATCTCGATACGTGTTACAATAGAATTCGTGTACATTGTAAGTACATATGTATGTGTAAAGGGTTGGAAAAGGGGACGGTATGGATTATTTGCAGATTCATTGAGAGACAGAGAGAAGAGGTGCCTTTAATCACTTGTCTAGATGTGCAGATTAATTAAAGACAATCCTTCGAGTGTGATACGATAATTCTGTAGCACGTTTCCGTTTTAACACGATTGCTACATTACAAGCGTTTAAATTAATATCCGTGTATTACTTGTACAGTTTTGTCACGAATGTCTATGTAGTCCTTATAAATGTATGTGTGTATGTATGCTTAGGTTTCGTCAAACTCGCTGATACAGGGTGGGCCAGGTAAAACAGGCCACAAAATTAACTTATCTAACTATGGTAGTATACGGGAAAATTTTTATATATAATTTAAATTGTTTCAAAGAGTGTATGAAATGGAAGGTACATTTTCCTCCGTTTTCTCTTTTCAAGGTCATCTGATTTTTTTTTACAAGAATGTATATATTTTTATCTAGTGTAACAGACATTGATGTGCATTTAAACATGCATAATACTAAAATGATCGACAATGGGGGGGGACTAGGTTTCGTGAATAATGTGAAGGCCAATGTGGTTCAAATTATATCATATTCAATCGCATTTTAATCAGAAAAATCTCACCAATATGTTAAACAAATTTTCAGTTAGAAAAAAGTTATATTATTGTATTATGAACTGTCAAGTCGCGACTCTCATCAAAAGAACCGCGTCGCGCATCGCATTCGCGCATCGCATGCTTGACTGACTCCGAGAAAGATAAATAAGTGAGGGCAGCTCGAGTAGCGACAGTGTGAGGGGAGCTCGAGTAGTGACAGGGTGAGGCGGA